TGAGACCATGGCAGTCTCGTTGGCTCAAATACCCGCTGGTTCTTGGGGAGAAACTGTAGATGCCGACGTAGCGTTTGTGTGTAGAGAGGTAATTGCATCGACTATCGTAGCTTCTACGCTAACAACTCAAAAGATCCTCCAAGGACTAATGTATATTCGTTCTGACCTTTGTCTATCCTACGGACGATTTGGACCAGATGATATCCTTCTCTCAGCCTCCGGACAAGTGAAGTTGGGTAAGTAGCTCTTCAGCAATAGAGACGAGCGGCTAATTTGTCAGCCAATATCGGCAAGGTCTTTCTCAAACAGAAAAGTGAGGCGGAGCAGGAGTCGACGTCACTCGGCTTCTTAATGGTGTTTATGATGGAGCCAGATACCGCGTCAGAACAGCCGGAATCCATCGCATTACGCGACTCTGCCAGGTGGTCTGAGAGTACTCTAAACTTTCTCAAGCTGACAGAAAAATCCGATCTGCAGGTGCTAAGGAGAGATGGATTTATACAGGCTGCTCTAGATTCCGCATGTGAGCGAAAGTCAGACCTACCATATATAACGAGACCCGCTCAGACTTGATGGTTCTTGATGAAAATGAGCTCAATCACCTCCGTTGTTTGTTGTTGGATAAGTTTAGTAGCTTAGTCATTCTCTCTGAGACGACTTTGAGTGTCTTTTTTTCCCTTCTTGTTTTCATCTAACGCTACTTGGTGTTTAACTCATTCATCAATCATTCGACCGATCGAGCACAAATTCCATCACCTAGCGTACCTGAAACGGTGTGCCATGAACAAAGTGGCCGTGGCGTAGCACATGGGTGCGACCATGTAGCAGCTCGCCATCAATAGGGCATACGATGGTTCCATCTTCAGGGTGATGCCGAAGATGGTAACGGAACATGTGCTTTTTCAAGACTCCGCGTCTGCAAAATTCTTTTACACGCTTCTCTGGTGGTAACCCTTCATCGCCTAAGCAAAGGAAGCACTGCGTTGGTCTGCACACTTGAAAATGTGACTCAGAGAAGTCATTGATGATGGGGTCGTCCGAGTCTGGCGAATTCCCCATTTTGAGCTCATCACCGTCAGACGCAGGTCTCTTGGAACAAATCTGAACGCGCTTGCGGTCTTCCTTCTTGGCGCAGAGGGCTACAAGGGCGGTGATTGCTTGTACCTCACGGTCTCGTTCCTCATGCAGTGTTGATTTGGGCAAAGTAAAAAGCGATTCGCGTACCCGGGCGCGCTCCGGCAGTATACGTACACGTTTTGATTGCTCCGCCACGTCTACTGGCAAGTCATTTAGCTGATTTTGGATGTCGGCGATAGCTTGCTCTCTCTTGAAGCTTCGCTTTGTTGACTTAAGAAGTGCATCCTTCTGGCGCCTCTTTTCTTTCTGATAAGCCCGCTGGGCTTGGTCTCTAGCAGCCTGGAGAGCCGAGACACGGCCTCCCGTGCTCGCTTTTTTCTTTGCTTGCTTGAGCTCGAGCACTAAGGCATCTTTCCGCTTACATGCTTTCACAACTTTTGGATGTTTCTCGATCTGGGATAGCTGATCGGGGGATAGTCTGCGCGGCCTTCGTGGGTCAATACCCCTCTTCATACCGGTAGCAGCCCTCATTATAGCTGATTGGGCTGGTAGGCCGCGATATGCCGCTTGTGTGTCCGCACTTATCTGCCGAGGAAGATAGTGCTGCTGGAAGACTTCAGACTTGGAATGTTGCATGATCAAATTCCGCAAGGATTCGCTGATCCCATCTGTGAGTCGTCAGTCACTTTTACACGTTGGAGTCCTCTTAAATATCGCGCCTTATAACTTACCACAGCTGTCGAAAGCCTTGCCAGCGGCGTAGCGGAGGACGTATGGATGACAAATCTTCTCCATACCCGTGATTTCACCAAGCTTCCGGAGCCACGAGCGGATGGTGCTGTCCCGCAACTGATCTTGGGATATCCCAACACCATGGATTGTGCGGCAGCTCCTTCGAAATATCGGCAAGTCTAGAACGTCCTCCTTCCACGGGAGATGAGTTTGGTATAGACCGTCGACAACACGTAATCTGAAGAGCCTAGCTGGATCTGTAAGGTGTGGCGCCGCAAATGCCTGATCGCTGAAAGCTAGCGCTAGAAAGTAGGTGTGGGGTGAAAGTATTAGGCAAGGATCGTGGCGGATCTGTGGAATAGCGAATGTGTTACTGGTTTAGAGTAAGCACAGGCATAGATGCGGAAATAGGGGATAAGCATACCTATCCTTCTGGCCAAGGTATCCTTTCGTCTGCGTGTACTTGAACTCGAGCAGTATGTATGGTTCGTTTCCGCCTGCGGGGTCTCGTATAAGGCTCGCTGCAATATCCCGATAGCGGAGCGCTAAAAGCGCTGCAGGCCGGTTCCCAGTCGTCCCAGCCAACAGAAGGAATAAGCAGAGTTCCACTCTGTGCCTTTCGTGATCAAAAGTCATCTCAGAAGACGTCCACTGTGTCTTCAGAACTTCGAACAGATCCTCGACATACATTGCTGTCTTCTCTCGTTTCTCCGATTCTAGAGCGAACTCTTTCGCTAGTGCTTTAAGGACCTTTCAACCTACTTAGGCCGTTACCTATAAGGGGGCGGCTGGTCGAACTGATTACTCACGTCTTTCATCTGTACCACAATAAGCTTGTCAAGCTTGCCTCCAACACAGCGTTCACGCACCAAGCAAAAGGCTTTCCAATATGTCTCGAGCGTGCCTACTGAACGTAGAGTCTTCCTACGGCCATGCAGTATCCAATAAAAGAAATTATACAGCGTTTTGACGGAAACCGCCTCGATGGTTGCGCGGGGCTCCCATTTTCTACAAACGCAGTAACTGGTATAGGCGTTAAGCATGGAACCTCCAATGCAAAGGTGGAGCATACTCCGTCCACATCTTATCTAGCCTTGCGAAGAGCGTCTCGCTACTCGCACTGTATATTCTCCTAGTCAGAGCGCTTTCATCGAATCCAGCGTCGATCCTTTCCAGGTCTTCTAGTGTTAGACAGCCCTCGTCCTCAGACGCGAAATCCGATTCGCTACAAGGAGAAGTATATCGCATAGCTGTCCAGAAGCTTGTACGGAGAGCAGGAGGTAATGTAAAAAAGACAAAAGTCTTTCAATTGAGATAGTAAGCAGAGACAACAGAGAACACGAAGAGTAGACGAGTTTGTTCGATGTTATATATATAGCCATCATCCTCTGCACGGCTGATGCGCTAATTGGCTACCTGCACTGAATCTAGCTATGGCGGATTATTGCAGAGCATTGCGCAAATAATCGCTGGAATGCTCGCATGGCGTGTCGCGATGTCCATGTGTAGTTATTTTTGGGAGTAAGCAATAGGCGATAAGAGAAGTGTTGCTATTGGAGCGCTTCCAGAATGGAGGTTTTCCCGACTGGACCTAAGGACGCAGAGTGGTTCGCGCAATGGACGGCATAACGCTCAGCCGATGCTACCCGAGCGCTTCGATGGTGAAACGCGTCGGCGCCCTGCTTTCACATCTTGCACATCCGTCGCTATCTTTGTTCTCATCACATCGCAATCATTGCAAACTGGCAAAGGACGATGATTCAGCTCGTGATATTTCATTAACTTATTAGAGACACCACAGAACATCGTCTTCTCATACCGCAACCGATCATGAAGAACAACTGATAGCCGATTTCCTTCCGCCATCCAAGGCCACGCATCTTCTCGTAGAGCCTTTCCGCTCTTTCTACTCTTTAGGTTTGTCTACATGGGGTTTAGCTGTTGACATTGTACTTGAACTCAATAACTTGCGCTCAGAACAGTAGCGAGAGCCGCTCTCAGCCCAGCTTTGGCAGTCCTCTTTCACGCACCTGATTGCTGGGGAGGGCATATCGGAGGTTTGAAATGTAAATGTGTGTGGGAGAGACTGTTGATGGAGGATGAGGATGAGGATGGAACGGTGGAAGCGCAACCAGCATGTATGGGCTCTGCTGCCGGTTATTATACTTAATTTCCTGCATACAAGAACGTCTCTGTGGGCAGTTGATGCTGCAGCCTATCAAAGGTGGTATGGCTGATTTTGAGAGTTGGCCGAAGCCTTTGATGCATGTAATGCAAGATTGGGATGATGACACACGCCAGCGCGATTTTCCTTATTTTGATGTGAGTGACAGACGGTGGCGACTGCATGTGGCGTCGCTCACATGAGTCATACATGTCAGCCTCATACACGCAACTGCTCGTTGCATGTCCACTGAGAGACTACTAGGCGCCTACCGATGCGACGCGGCGTGTGTCATAGTGGTTCTAGACTTCATATGCAGAAGCACGCGCAGACCAAATGCAGAAGAACTTGGTCGATCGCATAGCTCCTTGCAGTGCTGATTGTTGAGTATGCGGTGTATCCCCGCGGCCGTTTGCATCACGCTCGCTAAACGGTGGCCTGGTCGCCTGGCTCAGCTCTTCCAGCCACCCACACTTTCTAAAGGCTGGAGACCCTGCTCAGCAGCCGATAACCCCACCTCTAGCTTGCACCTCGCCCGCTCCGCCCACCATCTGCCTACTCTGGCCAGTCACCCGCATTCGCCCGCGATATTTCCCGCAGCTCTGACTTCTCACGAATTCATTGTCCACTTCACCTCGTTCTAAGCTTATGGCAGCCGTTCTCCATTCCCAGCATACCGATGTGGACCTGTGATTTTGACGGATGCCGACGGCGTGCTGTGCGCAAACAAGGTGATTGCGAAATTTGCAGTCGCCACATATGCTCCCTGCACTTGAGCCCCGAAAATCACGGATGTCCCACATGGCAGGTAGGTTAATCTACGAGCTTCTTTAATAGGCTATTAAGTTTTTTACAGGATGAATGCAACTATGACCCTGCTATGCGCGGGGTTGAGCAACGAGAAATGACCACACTTATTGGGCGGATCAAGATTGATGCGCTTGCCACCCGAGCCAGTGCAATCCGCCAAGGCATGTCTTGCTCTGTCATCCCTCCTCGATACGACAAAAGTACCCGAAGCTCCGTAATGGGTGGCATGAACTACCACGTTGAGATACATTTCGAGGATGGAGTTGTCTGGCTAGCCCGCATAAGGCGCTCCAATGTCACTTCGCCACCTCCTGAATTGCAGAACTACATTGTCCAGAGCGAGGTAGCTACCCTTCAATTCCTCCAAAGAACCAGTGTGCCTGCTCCTAGAGTTTTTGACTTCGAGTTCGACCATGAAGATAATCCCGTAGGAGTGGGATACATTCTCATGGAAAAGATGCCAGGCAAATCTCTCAGGTGGTCTCGAGCCACCCAAGAGCAGCGCAAAAATGTCATGAGCCAGCTTGTGAATATTTTTATCGAGCTGCGTAGACACCCGTTCGATCAAATTGGCTCCTTGATCCTTCCGGGAAACGCCCATGTTGGCCCATTGGCCCGAGAATCTCTCACGGACTTTACGGATTCAGGAATGCAGGCCCTAGGCCCATTCTCGTCATTGAGAGACTACCACACTGCTTCCCTCCAACTCATTCTGCACCAAATCCTTCGGGACGAGCTCTACGCCTTAAAACGAGTGGATGGCTACCTTATACATAGGTTTCTCCTCGACCTCATACCATCCGTGTTCCCCCAGACTGAGCGAGGTCAAGAGAGCTTTTATCTGAAGCATGCAGACGATAAAGGTGATCACATCTTAGTCGACGAGGATTACAATATCACAGCCATCATCGACTGGGAATGGGCGTACACCACGTCACAGTCTCTTGCTTTCAGCTCCCCAATCGCCTTTTTACCTGTAAGGTCATTCTATGAAGGCTCCAACGACCTAGGCGGAGACGAGACCATCTTTGCCCACTTGTTTGAGGAGGCGGAAAGACACGATCTGGCACAGTTGGTGCGAAATGGCAGGCTACAGCACCGGTTCATGTTTTGTTGTGGTTATGATCTCGAGGACTGGGAAGGCTTTTTAGGCCTTTTTCATGGTCTCAGGAAGGTGGTAGGTGTGGATGAGAGCCTAGACTGGGATGAATGGAAAACGGTGGCATTGGAGCGATATAGAGACGATGATGGTCTACGACAATTACTGCAGTAAGTTGCAAACAACTAGCCTATCGCTCCGAACATGATCTGGGTCTTATGAGATTATGAGCGAGCTTGAACCAAGCATTGTCACTGGTCACCGCTGTTGGACTGCTGTCTTCGCTGTCGTTTGAGCTGTCTCACACCTTTGGGCAGTGCCAAGAAACCCATGTGAGAAGCATGTACAAGAGGCAGATAACAGGCCAACCTCTCTTTACCAGTCAAGATTTGGGATGACTGAGCAGGTCCTGGAGATGGGGCGTATGCCGCGTAGCTGCCTTCGGCGGCCTGGACGGCTCATGAGTGGAGTGCTGCGCTCCGTCTTCCTGGGCAGCGCAATCGCGCTATGATCGCATGCTGAAACGTTGTACCGAAGTCATCCCGAGCAGTTCCAGGTGAAACGCGTCGACGCGCCCTCCCTTTGCTCTGCAAACCCACAACAAGCGCCCGCCCTCCCAACCCGCAGCACCTCACTCTTCGGGCGACACAACGCCTTTCAGCTATCAGACCTTTTAACATCATCCGGCGCCCCGCGTCGTCGCCTGGTCAAACAGCCGAGGACCGCCGCCATGGCACAGCTCTCGGACAGCCAGCTCGCCACCATCAGTGATCATCCGATTGGAGATGCACTCAATTCATTTCGGACTACATTCAAGTCCGCTCATCCCCACATAAGCGTTCGGGTTGGACTGGACCGTTTCGAACAGCTAGTCACCGAGCCAGGTGAGCACTGAAGTTCGATACGAACGACGTAAGCTAATCAAAGCAGCCGGACGAGATCTAGCGCTTGAGCTGATAATCACTCTTCAAGCGCATCCTACCGCCGCCTTCCTACGTTCTCGCATCAGATTGACCCCTCTACGCAGCGACCTCGCCCTCCTATATGCAGGACTATCGTCAAACGAAACGAACTTTACGTACACAGCCCAGCTCTTGAGAGACGTCGTAGCTGAGAAGGACGATCCCACGATATGGGCAACCGTGTACGACCTCATCCGCCAGACGCAGCCCGCCCCTGCTTCCACAACCCTACCAACAGTCCCTTCTCGACCAGGCCCCGAAACGCCTCCCAAATCCACTACATCCACACCCATCGCCCCGCCCTCCCAGCAGACACCCACCGTCTTCCACTCCGGCAGCGGCGTATATACATCCGAGACCAGAGACAACATAGATCCTATGCTAAAGGCGGAGGTGGAGAGAAACCTCATCATCGACCACTCTCAAGTGTTCGATGCCTTCTGGGGGCGTGTGGCACAGCTGCGAGACATTGCTACAGCGGTGCTGGATATGTGCGAGGGCGCGGATGAGCCAATTTACAACAAGGATACTGGTTGGGTGGATTGGCCGCCAAGCTGCAAGGAAGATGAAGTGCTACGCTTTCTCCGCCGCCACGTGGATCAGTTTTTGACATTCGCCGATGAGCGCGGTTTCCGACCTTCAGAACGCCGACGATGCGTTGCTAAACCGAACCAGCCGCTTGCTGGGTCTATCGCCATACGGAAGCTCGATATTGGTATCGCGCGCAGCAACCCTGACGAGCCGGACCATGACAGCGCACCATGCAACTGGTCGCAGATTCTTGTTCCCGGCGAGCTGAAGAGCAACCCAGTGAAAGACAATCATAACGACACATGGCTGGATATCGCAAGATACGCGCGAGAGGTGTTTGCCGCGCAGGACACACGGCGCTTCGTCTTGGGATTCACGTTGTGCGGCTCAATCATGCGGCTGTGGGAGTTCGACCGTCTTGGATGCGTCGGGTCCACTTCATTCAACATTCACACAGATGGGCACAAGTTCGTCTCTGTGATTCTTGGATGTCTGTGGATGAATGACGAAGAACTTGGGTTCGACCCTACCATTGTGGAGGACGATGGCAGATGGCTCGAGATCCAGCGGGGTGACAAGTTGGAGCGCATTTTTCTGGAAGAAGTCATAAAGCCTCCGCGCTCAATTGCTGGCCGCGGGACGACGTGCCGGAAAGGCCGTGTTGACAACGATCAGTCCAACGAACAGCTTGTCATCAAGGATTCATGGGAATACGAGGAGCGTCCGGAAGAGGGACTTTTGCTACAAGAGGCGACGGCGGCTAGAGTGACGAACGTGGCGCAATACTACCACCACGAGACCGTACGCGTTGGGGATGCTGTTGACGATGTGGTTGGAAATATCCGGAAGACTTTGAGCGGCACCGGCGGAAGGAACCCGTTTGAGCGTCGACGCATCAAGCTTTACGATGCGCTCACAAGCGCAGCTGCTTCTGGAGACTCAAGTCAAGGGAGTGGAAGAGGTGGAAGCCGAGGCAGAGCTAGAAGCAGGGGCCAGAGCGCTTCGAGGAAGCGGTTGTCGAGCCACGTGGATGAATCGATGCCACCTCCGAAACGTCCCTGCTCGGATTCTGCCGGGAACGAAGAGCCTTCCCGTAAGCGCAATCGCGTGCACCGTCGTGTCATCATAAGGGGCGTTGGGAAAAGTCTCTATGAAGCGAGCAGCCTTAAGGCTATGCTTACGGGATTGCTTGGGGGCTTGAAAGGTGAGCATGACCTTGAGAAGGAGTTGACAATACTAATGGTCATTCCAGGACACGAATCTCTGCTCGAGAAGGCCAAGATCCTTCATCGCGATATTTCTATCGGAAATGTCCTGTTGAATGACGCAGAGGATGATGGCTTCCTCATCGATGTCGACCTTGCCATCAAGACTGACCGCGAAGAGGCCTCCGGCGCGCCGAGCAAGACCGGGACCAAGGTGTTTATGGCCATCGGCGCGCTCTATGGAGAATATCATTTGAATGTGTACGACAAGGAGTCTTTTTTCTGGCTGCTTTTCTGGATATGTGCCCACTGGAAGGGACCAGACGAAGAGCTGAACGAGTCTGAGTACGACTCTTGGAACTCGAAGAACACCAAAGAACTTGCGGAAATCAAGACGGGCAAAGTGCTTGAAGAAGAGAAATTCGGCAAGGAAATAGAGGATAACTTTACAGACTACTGCAAGGCACTGATCCCTTGCGTACAGGAGCTGCGCAAGGTAGTTTTCCCGGGAGGAAGGCGGCGGACATCTGAGGACGAAACTTTGTACTATCAGATGAAGATGGTGTTTGAGAGGGCAAGGGAAGCATTGCATTTAGTAGAGTAAATTTTAATGATCAGCAACTGCGCCGGACGGAATAGCTACAAATCACTATTTGAGCCCACTCAAAAAACGTCTAATAGTCTGAAAGTAACGATGCAACTACTTGTAAGATAAAGTGTGTATCAAAGCTGAAGTCGTGTCAGAAGCTATTATCGTGGAATTTAGTTGGCCTAAGAAAGTTGCTGTGAAAATCTGCTCGGCATATATATATTCCGTTGCGATCTCTGCCCCTCCAAACTGCCAACTCATCTGAATGCAGTGCCCCACCTATGCCTACAGCACAACGTCAAACGCTTTCGATACCACGTCGAATCATCCATCGGCATGGCCGATGAGAGTCCACACTTCCATCATCTTCAAAAAATTGCACTAGAGGACGACGCGCATGGGCCTCTGCAAAGAATCATTCAAGGTCTCACGCATCGGAAATGGATTGAGCTTGGCGGTGGAATGCGTACAGTCGAATCTTTAGAGGGGCTTGAGGATAACATACGAGCGGTGGCAGAGGCATGCAAGGTTGTTACACGGATCTTTTCTCAGTGGTCACATACTAATAAAAGAGCAAGATTCAAGGCGTCGGCACCATCGTTCGCTACGAACGCGACGGAATAGTCCCTGTCAAAAGGCCCACTGTTGTGATACTCCTCGAATTCTCCAATGAAGGCATGACACCAAGGATATCAAATGAGGAATTCGGTTATGGTTTGGCAGTATACATCGATAAAATGGAGCGCATAACCTCTGGAGTCACGCTACTAGTCTTTCGGATGAACGACTCTGTGGACGGAAGCTCTACTGGGCGCAGTGAACATCATCGAATTATTCGCGTGCCTTAGTAACCTAGTGTCCAATATATTCGGTTCCCCCAGAAATAATCAAATCGAAAAGATCCATATCCTGGAACAACTCCATGTCTTGGTGGAATGCTATTGTGGACTGTCGCCCGCTATTTGCATTTTGGTCCGTTGCAGTAGGAATGGTCTGTCTCACATTGTTTCTTTCACTTGTCTGATCTGTGCAAGCTTCAAGCGGCTGGCTCAAGATATCTGGATGTTGCACGCCATAGCCGTCGTTGGCTGGCGTAGAGTTAGTTGCGTATCTTTCAACATCAACCTAATGATGACTTGCCTGGATATGCATTGACTTGCTCTTGCCCTTGTCCTTGCCACACGGCCGGATCCCGTAATGCTGACTGGCTCATTATTTCTGATGCGCTTTCCTCGAGGGAGACCTCTATAGCTGTGCCCTGTGCATTGCTATAGAGAGCTTCATTCGTTATGGAGAAGCTCGCACTGCTGCTGCTCTCAACGTTGGCTGCTTGAATGAGAGCATCCATACCGCTGAGGCGTGGAGCCAAAAGTGAATGTGGTTCTAAACTTGAGTTTGGTACGGCAGTTTCTGTACTGGTCGACTGAAAGTCCATTAGGTTTGAGTTGTGATTAGTTGATTGACCTGTAGTCTGATTAGAGAATATGCCATTAACAACAACCTAGCAGACTTACTGAAATCGCTTGCACTAAAGGTTTGCGTTGCACTCTTTCTACGTATTTTCTGTCCAGCTTCATTTGTGTTTTGATCGTGCGATTGCTCCAAAGTAGTCAATGTTCCGGGCTCGGGCTGGCTCTGTTGGTCATTATTGCCGTCGCAAACTTGATTGCGCGATGGGCCAGTTTCGTCCGATGTGGAATTATCGCGCCTAAGAAGTGAAGTATCCGTATTCCTGATTAATGGACCTCCTAGCGATGTCTCTTCCACCATGTTCTCAGATTCACAACTTTGATGACCATGGGATGTGTTCCAGGACATGCTCGTTGCGCTTGTCTGATCATGCAAAGAAGTGGAAAGATGGTCGCTGTGGATGAGAGGTTGCGGATCCAGCTGAGGTATCTCTTTTGGGGGTTCAGACTCTTTTGCATAGAGATCTTCCTGCTTTTGTCTGACTTTCCCAGACAGGAGACTTTCAAAATCTACGACCTTGCGCAGTACTCTGGTCAGTGAAGTCTCAACCTCTGCTAAGTGAGTCAAGCTCTCTCCAAACTTCAAAAGGGTCTTGATCATGTACTCGGCACATGCAAAGTCATGTAACGACCTTTCCACTCTGACATTCGCTTCCAAATCTCTTGTTTCTCTTGCAAGCGATTCACACGCTCCTCCGACATCTACGTACGCGATCTGTTTCTCCCATCTGCTAATAAGTCAGTTACGAAGTTCAGACAGGCCCGCAACGCTTACATATATGACTGGTCGCTGCGTATTTCTAAGAGGCGACTGGGGCCAGCCGCATCCGCTAGTAGAATGTATCTCTGTGCCGCGCTGACTAGATCGCTGATAACACTCAAAGATTCCCCAGTCTCTTCCGCAAGGACCTTATAGACACGTGTCCGGAGCCTGGAGTAATGCTTTTGGGTTTTTGCAGTCCTGAGTAGCTGTTCAGCCGACTCAACGCGATGTAGCATGCAGAGAATGAGCACACGACGTTCGCAAGCAGCTTCATGGGCCATCAAGCCTGTCATTCTCCAGGCATTACTGAATCCTTGGTTGAAAGGTATTGCGGGAGGGCCCAGTTCATCATCGGCAAGAAATCCTTGATGTCCATCCGAGGCCTTGACGTTGACTCGCTGTCGCAATCTGGAAAGACATGCAGTATGCGATATGTCTTTATCGATCGTGTTTATTGCCTTTTTGATATTTGCACTTTTCGGGGTAGTCCGTCGTAGTTTCTTTTTACCTGAATTTGTCGAAGGAGAGACTAAAGATTGGTCTGAAGCAGGTCGCTTGCGGCCTTGTAAAATCGTTGAATCTCTGGTTTCAGGGTGATCAGAACGAGAGACATCAGCTGTGCCAGATGATTGAGGTGCAGTTTCCAGGGCAGAGTTTTGTGGTACAAAAGAGCCTGTGGATTCATGATCGTCCGACTGGGCCTGTAGGATTTCCTGCGGGGCGTTCCTTAAGTTCGATCCGCATGTGACTTGGCTATCGCGAAATGTACAAGGAGTAATTTCTAAGAGCTGCTCTTCGGTGAATCTTTGGAGAAAATCTCGAAGAAGATTCGCCCACCGCTGAATTAATTAGCGATGATGTCGCCTCTACGCTTAGATCTTCTTTCCTTACCGGATTCTCGATTAAATGAGCAGGACTGACTTCCAATAGCGACTCGAAGGCAGAGGTAAGGTCGGCGGTCTGTGGAGTTGGAGCCATTGAGACGAAGGTGGGGATTGCCAAGTGGCACGGGTCGCGGTGGGCTCAAGTTAAAGGAGCGATCGACCCTTTACACTCGGCTATGCAGTTACAGGGGTCATAAGTCTGTTGCGGACCTCTGACCCCTGCGCTTGCACTTGGCTATCTCACGAGGTCGCTTAGGCGACCTATGCGCACACTACTAGCCAGCCACCTGCAAGTCCTCCTCGTAGTGATTGTCTACTGCAACAGATAAGCTGGCTCAGCTTGATATCACAATCAGTCGGATGGTTCGGCATGCGTGACAGTCTGTCTGGTCACATCCTTGTGACTACCTCGGGAGGTTGTCTGCCCTCCTTGCGAGCTTGATGGGCCATGATCTCGCGACCTTATATGAGACAGGACGCAAGGCTGAGGCCGCCCTCTTACTCCACCCGCCTTCATCATGGCAGTTCCTACTGGCTGCAGGATCGCCTTCTCCTTCACCGCTTTTTTCTCCACAAGCTACACGGTTTGGTATGCGGTCATGCATAGGCTTCCGTGGCTGACTCGTGCTGGACACGGAATCACTGCCATCATTACCGCTGGACTCGCCGTGGTGAGCGCTTACAGTCTAAAGTCTCACAGTGCCGTCCTCGATAGAGTATCAATCAGCTTATTGTGTGCTGGTATTGGAACAAGCCCTTTTGTCAAGGTATCATTTTCGTCATAGCTACATTAACTCTCTGTTAACTTTGCCTAGCTTACGATTTTGAACCAACGAGTCAAACTGCCCTACGCATTAATATGCATCATACTTGCCCGGATACTCGTTCTCTTGACGGTTGCAATCTCGGCAGTGCTGTTAGTAGGCTACAATGCAGAGGCCCTTAGCAGCATTGTACTCCTCTCGGTCGCCCTTCAGTACGCTTCTTTTGGCAGCGTTGTGCTTCTTCAATACAAACGCACCAAAAAGGAGCCACACTATTTACCCATACGTGTAGTACAACAGCTCCACTCTTGGTCGATAACTTCGGGGTCCTTTGTGTGTGCAGTTCTCGGATTCTCTTTTCAGGACATGGACTTGATTAATTGGTCACTCTGGGTAAGTATTGTGATGCGCAGAGAACCATAATGCTGACCACCCGTGTAGGCCCTCTTTCTCCTGGTCTTGCTTCCCGAAGGTCTACTTCTAGCGTACAAAACAATTAGACAGGCTGTGGATGGTTTATATCCCGGTGATATTAACGAGCTCGAAAGCCTTGGAGGCCAGGACAACTCTGAGAAACAAGTAAGCGCTCTCAACCCAGTGATGCTGTATCTAAAACTAATTTAAGTTTGGTGGAAGGCTCACATAGCCAACTCCCAGTCGCTATCGCCCTCCAATAGTGGATGTAATGGACATGATGACGAAGAGAGCCTTGTAAACGATACAAGGTCTCAGTTTAAAGAAGTAGCGCAAGGTCTATCCATTGGCACTGTTGACCAGCTTGACACTATGCTTCACGAACAAAAGCTTGAAAGTGTGGGTGCTCAAAGAGTTCAGTTGGTTCGTTAGATTTCATTATCCGCTAGAATGCTCGTGCTGATGTCACTGTAGGAAACCTTAGTAACAACTGAAGTCTCTATAACATCAGAGGAGCTACATGAATCAAGTCATTTCAAAGATTGATTAAGCACATATGTGCGTGTCATGGGCGAAGCTCACTTTGTTATTCTTCCTTTCTTTCCGAATGTATCACGGCAATCATGTCTCTCGTTATTCATGACGATGTTTTCTGAGTACGAACAAGCTATGTACCTTTTCGTCGTAGAGAATTTCATATGATCCGATTCACAGCGTAATGAAAAGTTCAGCCACTGCGTGTGACATGTGATCGCAAGATGCAACAGAGATCAATGATGCTTAATTGTGCGGCATATCCGAGCTGCGCCAGCAAGAATTAAAACAAAAGAACTTACCTCGATTTGCAACACTGATCTTCCGAACACGGTATGCCTCCGGAATTTGGAATCCCTAGAAATCGTCACACGATTGATGCACTTTCCTGACCCGTTGTCAGTCCAGGGGCGCCTCGGTACTTAAGGATGATGGGCATGCCATGCAGGAGACTCAAGTACGTTCAGTCCCTCGATGCCAGCCGGCCATGCCAAAGAACCTCCTAACCGATGCCAAAAAAGAAGAGCTACGAGCTCTTCTCATGACTGGAGAAGCGTGGCGTGTTCAGCAGCTGGTCCAGATTGACTTTCCCGGATTCAACGCTTACGAGGTACTGAAGGAGCGCGTGCAGGAACGGCGAGACAATCCCAAATTCTGGGTGCATCTCGAGTACAAGGAGAAAAGGGAACTGTCTTGGCGTGGGTTCCTCGGGCGCTGCAAATGCTGCCGCTCTCTCCTCCCTTTCAATTTCCACGAGACCTTTTCCTGCGGCCACCTGAGTTGCCCACACGAAGGTGAGTTCTTTAATAGCAACGCAGTATCGTACCTCGCACCACTAACCAACAAAGATGCCAACTACTGTTTCTTATGCGGTCCATCATTTGACCAACTGTGGGAGTTCCTGAAGCACGAAAAACATCAACCTTCGAAGGTCGAGTGGCCTGAAATACCGGAAAAAATCTTCAACGCAACGCAAATAGAGAACTTTGCGACATCTGTTGTCCAGGCGCACAAGACAGCTGTCCAGCAGATCCACATCGAGGCTCTGGTGTCCTTCTCTTTGCATCGATCTTCGGCTGGCGTTACTTGGTTCCTTGAATCCCACCGAGACCTTGTAGATATGGTAAAGAAGAGCAGAAACAGCACACCCTTAGAACTCGCTTGGAATGCAGTTCATTCGGTAGGTCTATATCCAGAGGCTTGAACAATCGCTGACCACCGTATAGGCTGCAAAGGAGTTTGAGTTCCTCAGAAAAGCTCTCGAGACTGGACTACGGGGCAAGTCAGAGCAATCGGACAACCTGAAAACAGTTGAAGGCTTTCTGTACACAATAGCCTCACCCATCGGCAATATGTTCGAAGTGTACTCGCTTCCGGAGTTTTCAGAACGCATCCCTCTGCTTTCGCGCAAGATCACTCGCACCGGTATCTTGACCACAGACTTCACGGTTTACGACGAGATCAAAGAGAGTGATAAAGGTTTGTTGGTCGAAAGATGGCGGCAGCGATATCGCGATATTTTTCTGCTCGGCAGTCGATGCATAGAACAGGACGAATGGAAGCGCGGGTGCGAAGTTGTCCAGACGTGGAAGGCGAAGCTAAGCAGCGACATTTCCGACATCTGCTTGGTATATCCTCACTTTGGAGCAACTTTCTTGGAGCTCTCAAAGGTAATTACCCTTATCAGCATTAGTTAATAACGTACTAACAGTATAGGATCTAAAACTGCACGGCGACATTCTCTCTTGTGCCACGATTATCATGGGCTTGAAAGACTATCTCGGCTCAGACAGAACAAGGTTGTACCTGGAGTCCCTGAGCACAGAGGAAGAATAAATTGTGCCAGATATCCCTTTCCTGCTGCAATTTCGTCATTGAAGTAGGACTAAACCGGCGCTTTGCTTTGACTGTAGACAGTGCAGATAGTGCGGTGGTGTTCTGCGTCGTCAAAGCATCTATAAAAGATAATGTGGTCATTTTTGCTGTTTGATTACTCTCCAAGTACCTAGGATGTTCGCTATTGCTCCTTTGGCAAGAGTTTAGATGCCCGCTGTGCGCGGGCTTCTCAGTCTCCAAGCACGCCCCCGGCCCCAGATAGTGTGACCGCATCCAGCGGTTGCTTCACCATTGCTCCCTTGTACAGGGCACACAAGCGCCTGGTTGCCCCATTTCCTGGGAGATGCCCTGTGCATACATGCGGTCATCACCTAGCTTGCTCGTGTCACCTGTCGGAGGTGTCGGCTAGACTCGATGCAACCTGCACCTGGGTAGGATGAGGCGACGTATCAGACCCGTTTTCACCCCAACCTTTGTTGGCTACTGGCATCTAGATGCGTGATTAACTTGCATCCTGCGGTCTGTGGCAAGCCGATATATCCCGCATCATGTCTAACACGGGTTTGCTTCCGCCAAAGCATGCCGCCATGCCCGTAGTAAGTTAAGGCCATCAAAATTGCTGCGGGCTGAGTCCTGGCATATCTACCTAGCATCTTGGCTGATGCCTGCTGTGCCGCGTTACTGGTTGCTAGTAATGGGCGGACCATTTAAGGTCCAAGTCTTTTGCTCTATCCTGAGCACACAGTCTCGGTCATCTCAAATCAACACACAATGGCTGCACAAGGCACTGCCGTGGCTGACTCTACTCCAAACCATCATCTTTCTGTTTCAGCTACCAAAAGCTCAGATCTACTTCAGATGGATGTCCCGATCGAAAGCGGGACTTTTGCCACTCCTAATACTCCATTATCGGGCGATGACACGTCGCCACTACCTCAACTTCTAGACGCACTTCCTTGCCAGAAAACACGCAGAGATATTGAGTCGTCGGAGAACTCAAAGGATGGACACACTTCTCGAGATGGGCTAGAAGAGGAACAGCCGCCTTCCCGCTCACCGGGCGATAGCTGTGGAGGAAGCCGGGAAGCCCTACTCATGAGCTCCCATCAGCAACCACCACCACCGCCGCCGCCGCCGGCGGGGAGCGTCAAGCGCCATGATGTCATCAAATCAGCCATACAACTCCTACCGCCTATGGGACCACCCAACAAAAGACCCACCGAACGGGTTGTCCATCTTCAAACCAACAAACTTCACCAACAGGCTGCAATAACCTACCGCGCCGCATCGCCGTTCGATCTACACAAATACCTTTGGCTGATACGGCACGGCGAAGTGGGCTGCTGGTACATGTATCCATCCAAACACGACCTGAAGCAACTCGGGTGCCTGGGATCGACTGGTCTTGGTGGCGGGATACTTGCCAGCACTAGGCCATCTCTGGTTGCGCCTAGTAGCATATTGAGTGTGTGGGTGAGCGACCCCATGCGCACAACCATGCCGGGAAATCGCTGCTGGTGTTTCCCAGGAGGCGAAGGCCCAGCCGACGAGAACTGTCCCTTGGGTTCTTCACTCTGTGATACCCGCAACTAACAAAAGCTCGAAGAGGAGTTTATAACCTACTACATGATCATAGAGGCGAGTGGCCATGTACCTGGTGCGTCTGGCTCTCCTCTTCCGCCATTGGCATTGCCTATTATCAAGATGGAGAAAGTGGGCAACACGGTAGCTTGCCTCAACACGGCATTCCAGAATGCTTTTTTCAACGGCTGGAGCACTACATTCGTGTTTGCAGTAAAGGGGGACCCAGATCTGAACGATGCAAAGCCAGGACTGGATGGGTTTGAGAGAGTGTCTTCCTTGACCGCCCTGTTGGAAGAAAAGGAAGTTGTGGGAGAAGAGGAAGAGGATAAGAAACAAGGAAAGGTTAGGATTTTCTATTGAATGGTGGCGGTGGCTCCAATGGGATCTTCTCTTACATTTCGTATTTTGTAGTCGTCTAGCTTTAAACATTGTCTTGAGGCGTTGGAATAGCAGAATTTACATCGGATGTTGCAACTTTGGAACTATTCGCGTTCATTAATGTTACAGGGAGGTGATCCCTAATTACCGTCGCAGAACTAAGCCATGACCGGACCTCTATCAGAGCGGCTACCATTTCTTTCCGTCTTCTGGTTGATTGCGTTGAAGCATTCATTGAAAGGCCTCTCTCTTCTCATGGCAGTTTCCACCAGGGATTGCAAGACTGGTCATAGTACCCGTTCAATAGCTCTGGGCATGGGGTCTAAGATCTTGAATTTGGGTGTCTTACAATTCACGCGAAGTGCCTTCCGGGCGCCCGCCCGTAAAGGAGAGACTAGTCCCCACTAAGATACCTCAGGAGCCAGGGCATGCAACCAAGCTGAGAGAAAATTTTGTTACCATCAAGGCGGTAAATGAGTCTCCTTTTCAGGTACGGACAGAATCATCAGCTGCACTCATCATGCAGCTCTATATAACTGTTCCGCTGACAGTGACTGTTGCTCTTGGACCAGATCAGCCTTTCTATGGCGGATTGTCATCCTCACAATGGCTACCAATAAGGACCCGCGTGATTGCGACCGAAACCCCAACAGCCGTCCTCTCAACTCTTTCGCCGAGCGCAGCGGCCTTTCTTTGCCTCCACTCAGCGGCCGCCCCACTCTACCTCTACCCACCAACCACCCTCCTCTGCCACCACTCAGCAGCTACTCTCTGCCACCACGCAGCAGTCTTACACGGCCGATCACACTAGATCACGAACGAATCGTCTCACAGACTCCCACTACGAACCATGGAGTCGATGGATTTCGGCAATCCTTCCCTATTTCGACTCCGGAGATTCTCGCACATGTCTCAAGCCTTCATGCCAAAATTCACCAACAAGCTATGGAACAGCAGGCTCAAAGCACAAAATTCGACAAACTCGACCAGGATATCCGTCTTCTCAATCGCTACTTTATTTGGATAGGACGCCAAATTGAAAGTCTACAAAGCAGCATCCCAAGCCGTCACACCGCGTCCACGACTTTCTCTAGAACCGTCCCCGGACGCAATAGCTTCGAGAATATTGACAGTCTGGAAGCACAACGCAACGACGCAATACCTTCTGCAAGCGCTGCAACGCCTTCTATCAACACGCCATTTGCGCCTTCTCTTCATTACCGTACGCCTCAGCAGCCTGCTTGTCACCAACAACCAGCTCATTTCCAGGCGTTTCAGCCTGCCATTCAGGAACAGCGTGGTACTCCGACCTCTAGGAGTCAGACCAGAGAAGGTGTTTGCGAGAGGACTGCTGTGCACTGTAGCCCAGGAGCTGATGTTTCCACCAATGACAAAAATGGAACGGGCCAGAAAATTATGTCCCCAGTGGTTGAGCAGCAGATATTCATTATGGAACATGCCGTGATCAAGGAGGAAAAGTGGTCTCAGATCCACAGCGCGTTTTGCAAACGTTTTCCGGGAGCCGCAGTTAGTAGAGAGTCCTTCAGACACCTGTACTACTCCCTGCGGAAGAGCTGGGGGCTTCCTCCAGGTAAAGGTCGGAAGGCAGAAGGAAAGGTTCAAGATAAGCAGGCGGTCAAAGAAAGAATCCGGATAATGCGGCATGCACCGTACTGACATGGAATGTCGGTGTAGCTCGGATATTGCTCATGCTATTCAGTTATTTTTGTCTTTAGTCTGGATGAGCCTTTTCTTTTTTAAATCACACACTTCTAGCTCAAATTCAATGTCGTTGATATCTGTCATCAATCAAGTGAAGGCAATGCCCCGATATGCCACCAGTATCCCGTTGTAGACTAGATCTGGCGGCACCTGGATGTGCCGTGGCATCATGCAAAACCCGCCCAAAGATACTACGCTTAGGCGAAGTGAGTGGCTGGTCTAGGCCCACGTCCATTGAGTGTACGTGCGGGGTGAGAGAGCTGATCAATACGTGCATCACCCTAAGCTTGTTTTACCGTAACACGGGCCCTTCAGCGGGAGAGGCTTACACTGAATGTTCTCCCGTGCATGCAAGCATGGATCCTTTCATTGCTCTGCTTGGTTCATTTTCCGCTGATCTTCTTGCCGTGGGTCGCGCAATCTCCGCACTGCATCCCAGTGTCACATCCGGCCCAACACAACCCGCCACGCTCAAGAATATATGAAGATGGAAGATGAAGCCTCAGTTTCTAGTCGAGCGGCATCTAAATTCCATCAGACGGGGAATATCTCTACCACTGCGGAGCTCAAGCCGCTCAGAGTCTTCGTTACCACCAAAATCCGCCTTGCTGAACGCTCAGACCTTTCCCATCGGATCACGGAGTGCAGTATTGTGTCGTTTCGTACACACTAGCATGAAGCCCAGCCGTTCAGGCATCGGGGGCCTCTCTTCGAACGATTACTACACTCTTCCCTCTGTATCCCCCTCGTTCACCCGGCAGGACCCAGTTGCCCCCCAAAATTCCAGTCCTAGCCGACTGCCTTTCAAAAATTTGGTCGTAAGATAGCTATTCCTGATAGTCAACAAAAGCTTACGGTCGACAGCAACATGCCGCTTTAGAGGCGTTCCTCCATCTCGATCTATATGACAAAGACAAGGGGAAATCAAGCATGGACTTCGTCCATGAATTCCTAGTACGTATAACTGCTGGATACATAACTTCAACTGACCAGAGTAGCTTTTCGGCAGAGAAGTACTGCAAGTGGTGCACCATCAGACGGACGAAACCCTTTCCGCTGTCCTATGCTCTCATGCTAAGCCTGTAAAATCACCTCTTTGCAAGCCCCCGCTTAAGTACTTTGCGCAGGCAGCGCTACAGTACAAGGAGACAGAATGGCAGCACTACGATGGGATTATTACCGGCGTGAAGCTTGATTTGATCTGTAACAGACAAGCTATATTGATGTGTGAAGAGTACCGAGACTGTAGTCTGTGCAGGGCATACAAAGAGGCGTTGGAGAAGCGAGCATTGAAAGTCTAGGGTCTGAGCTTCTAG